AGCACCACATACCAACAAAGATGTTGTGTCCGCCGAGAACTAAAAAATAAATATTAAAAAGTCTCTCTCTCTCTCTCTCTCTCTCTCTCTCTCTCCTCTCTCACTCTCTTTTTAAAAAAAAAAAAAAGAAAGAGGATGTCCTATTCATGGAACTTTTGTAGAGTGGTGGCATAGGCAGACTCTTTTAAACACTGCATATAAGTCCTTTTTGCTATAAACTTTTTAAAAGCAGGTTAAAGGTATGATTAAGTAGATATATTTCTACCAAAAGAACTAAAAATATGAATTTATCAGTAATTTATTTTTACTGTTCTGAGGCCTTGAGTTTATGGGCCCCACTCTTGGGAAGAAGGGGTGTGCCAGGTACTTTTAAGAATTCCTGTTTCATGACACTAACATCTAAGATGGGCCCTAAGGAAAGCCACATTTTAAAGAATATGCTGGGTTAGAAGACTTCTCTGGGGTCTGCTTTTTCTGTGCTGTTTTTACCACTTATTTGTTAGGTTTTCAAATATCCAAAGCCATAACCAATTTGGTTCTGCTGGTGATATAAGTAATTGCTTTGCTCAGTGAAGGCACTGGAAGAATTGTCAGGTCTCCATCCTCCATTCCCCCCACACCCCATAGAACTCTGGGTCTGTCAGGTGCACAGTGCTGTCATTGAGTGGACACCTAGGGGCACTTCCTAGGCAAGCCTTGGGCATCTCAGGTTCTTATTGGCAGCTTTGATCCCAGCTGAGTGCAGGTGACCAGTTCTTCATTTTCCTGGGAATTAGCATGTAACTGTGTTGGCACACACAAAGACTAAATCATTTAATTTCCTCATGGTTTGACTTGAGCACAATGTTTATACTACCAGTAACAGGATCTTTGATTTTTCTCAGTTACGGAATTGGAACTGAAGTCAGACACAGTGAGTGGGGGATGATTTGCCTTTTTCAGTCCCTGGGAGACTTGGCACCCTCCTGGAGCCTCATTCCTGTTTGTGTTAATTTGAAGAAATGTTGGAGACTCCTTTCCAGTGTCCCTCTGGTCATGAAGTAACATTGATCTCTGGAGCACCTTCTGATAACCACCCTGCTGTCTGCCTTTGGAGGAAGAATCCAGATCATAACTTTTTTTTTTTTAATTTTTTTTTTATTGATTGTTCACAACATTACAAAGCTCTTGACATATCATATTTCATACATTAGATTGAAGTGGGTTATGAACTCCCAATTTTACCCCCAAATGCAGATTGCAGAATCACGTCGGTTACACGTCCACAATTTTACATAATGCCCTATTAGTAATTGTTGTATTCTGCTACCTTTCCTATCCCCTCAGATCATAACTGCTTAACCTGTTGTTCTTTCAGCTACTTTCTCATCTCCAATCCACCATTTTCTTTCTGTTTTGGTAATTTGTTACTTTGTCTAAATCTGTCATCACCACTAAATGTTCTTGATTGAACATACTGAACATGATGCCATCATTAGCTAGCTGACTAATGGAAGAGATATTTCTCTCTCATTGCTAGTGTAGACTGATGATTGGAAGTTAATGTCCTGTTTGTGTTTACCTGTAGTTATGTTGTTGGCCTTTGCCAGGCTGAAACAAATTAACCTTAGTGCCTATGACAGCTTATTCATTCTTCATGTTTCACACCAGTGCTTTTCAGAGTAAGCAGATTTTGTAGAATTTCTTTTCCTTCTTTGTGAACTGGTATTCCTTCTGTAGATAGTAGGCAATAACTAAATATATTCACAACTCTCAATAATATCTTTATTTATTTATTGGATTGAATCTAGGGGTTCTTTACCACTGAGCCACATTTCCTGCCCTTTTTTTATTTTTAATTTTGAGACTTGCTTTTTTATTTTTAATTTTGAGACTTTTATTTTTAATTTTGAGTCTTGCTGAGTTGCTGAGGCTGGCCTTGAACTCAATCCTTCTGCCTCAGCTTCTCAAGAAGCTGGGATTACAGGCGTGTGCCTTGCATCTGGCTTCTGTGTAGCCATTTCTATCCCAGAGAGATGTGTTCTTGACAATGTTGTCAAATTTTGAAAATGCACAAGAAAGTCACATGAGAACACCGAGCTTCCTAGCATTCATTTGATTTAATAAAACTTTTGATTTATTGGAATTTCAGATTTGTTAGCTGTAGCTGAAACCTACAGGCTTTCAGAAACTAACTGAATAGTGCATTCCTAGTACACCAAGGGGGTGCCTTGAGTTTATGGCATGCATCATCATTGATCATCTTTCTTTGCTTTTCCTGAGCTAGGCGATGGATCACTTGGAGTCCTTTATTGCAGAGTGTGATCGGAGGACTGAACTTGCCAAGAAACGGTTGGCAGAAACACAGGAGGAGATCAGTGCAGAAGTTTCAGCAAAGGTATATCAGGGGTCCTTAGTACAGATCGCTGTCTGTAATTGAATTACTGGTGGGTGGCGCTGTGCCTCAGCATCAATGAGTGAATGACTAAGCATGCCCATGCCAGAGGGTCTCACCCCTAGAGCTGCTGCCTTGCCTTTTTTCCTTATCTGTTTTCTCCTCTATTCATAATTTCTTTAACTTTGTTTATTTGTTTGTTTAGGACACTAGGGATTGAGCCCAGGACCTTACTCACACTGGGCAACACTCTGCCACTAAGCTACACTGAATGAATCCTTTTTATTATTATTATTATTTTTTTTGGTACTAGACATTGAACCAGATTACTTAGCCACTGAGCCACATCCCCAGCCCTTTTTAAATTTTCTGTTTATTTATTTTTTCTATTTATGTTTTAGGTATAGGTGGACACAATATCTTTGTTTTATTTTTATGCGGTGCTGAAGTCTGAACCCAGTGCCTCACACATGCTAGGCAAGCACTCTGCCTCTGAGCCCCAGCCCTTTATTTTTTATTTGAGACAAAATCTCGCTAAGTTGCTGAGGCTGAGTTTGAACTTGCAGTCAGTCCTTTTGCCTTAGCCTCTCGAGTCATTGAGGTTATAGGCTTGCACTATGGTGCCTAGCCCCAACCCTCTTTAAATTTCATTTTTAAGATAGGACCTTGCCATGTTGCCCAGACTAACCTCAAACTTATGATCCTCTTGCGTTAGCCTCCCAATTTCTGGGACTAACCGTCATGCAACCATCTCACTCAGCTTAATTTTTTTTTTTGTAACATCTCCATATGAAAGAGGAAACGAGAAAAATTTGAGGAAGGTGATCAAACTGTGATCTATCCACATCCACCTGGGGGAAAGGAGGTAGCTCTGTGGGTGACTGACCCCAGTGTTGGAGCAGTTGCTTTCTTCTCCTGTCCCCTCTTCAGTAGAACCAGGTCTCGTTTGTTTTCCTTCTCAGTGCTGAAGAAGCATTTCTTAGAGAATATGTATTCGATAATTAGAACAAAGGTGCTATTTTGTTTCTGAAGGCAAAATTTTTTTTAATTATTATTTTTTAGTTGTAGATGAACACAAAACCTTTATTTATTTGTATGTGATACTGAGGATCAAACCCAGTGCCTCATACCTGTGAGGCAAGCGCTTTACCCCTGAGCTACAACCCCAGCTCCCTCTGAAGCTAAATTCTAATGATTAGGTATTTGCAGCATAAGCTCTGCACTTAAACCCAGACATTTTATTACCTTCCAGAAAATTGAACTGTGGTAGAAGACATGAAAAGAGACACACCAGAAAATAACCAACATGAGAGGATTCTTTGAAATGTTTTGTTTTTGTGGCCCTGGAGATTGAACCCAGTAATGAACTACATCCTCAGTCCTTTTTTTTTTAAATTGTCAATGGATCTTTATTTATATGTCATGCTGAGAATCAAACCCTGTGCCTCATACGTTAGGTTAGCACTCTACCACTGAGCCATGACCTGACCCTTCAGTCTTTTTATTTTGAGACGGGGCCTTGCTAAGTTGCCCAGGTTGTCCTAAAACTTAGGACCCTTCTGTCCCAGCCTTCAGAGTACCTAGGATTATAGGAGTGGCCACTGTGCCTGGTTATGCCACTGCTTTTGTTGGAACGCCACAGATTAATGCTTCTACTTTCGATGGTGGCAGTAAGGATGTCTAAAATGTGCATGTGGGGCTGGGGATGTGGCTCAAGCTGTAGAATGCTCGCCTGGCATGTGTGCAACCCGGGTTTGATCCTCAGCACCACATACAAACAAAGATGTTGTGTCCGCCGAAAACTAAAAAATAAATATAAAAAAAATCACTCTCTCTCTCTCTCTCTCTCTCTCTCTCTCTCTCTCTCTCTCTCCTCTAAATAAAAAATAAAATGTGCATGTTCCTTGGTATAGATCTTGGCCGTTTCATTTATTTATTTTACTCTATCTATCTATCTATCTATCTATCTTTGTGGTACTTGGGATCAAACCCAGGGCCTCGCACTTGCTGGTAAGTGCCATACCATCAAGCCACTATTCCAGCCCTAAGCTACTCCATTTTTTTTTCCATTGTTGCCTGAATACAACAATAATTGTCTCTTTTGCATTCAGAATCTTGATTTTGGCGTCTGCTTACTTGATTATTTCTCCCCTCAGGCAGAAAAAGTACACGAGTTGAATGAAGAAATAGGAAAACTTCTGGCTAAAGCTGAGCAGCTCGGAGCTGAAGGAAATGTGGACGAATCCCAAAAGATTCTCATGGAAGTGGAGAAAGTTCGTGCAAAGAAAAAAGAAGCTGAGGTCAGTGAGGGAAATGTCTCGGGAAGAGAAATGAAAGTTAATTAGCAAACTTTTATTAGAGTGGTTTTGAGTTCATAGAAAATTTGAGAGGCAGGCGCAGAGATTTCCCCATTTATCCCTTGCATCTCCTACACAGCCTCTCTTCTTGTCAGCTCCCCACCACCAGAAATATATGTTTGTTACCATTTTAATATTTATTTTTTTTTTTTAGTTTTCGGCAGACACAACATCTTTGTTTGTATGTGGTGCTGAGGATCGAACCTGGGCCGCACGCATGCCAGGCTAGCGCGCTACCGCTTGAGCCACATCCCCAGCCCCTGTTTGTTACCATTGATGGATGGCCTACATCATTATCACCCTAAAGTCCGTAGTTTACACTGGGCTTATCGTACATAGTAGTTTCACTATCCTAGAAATCCTCTTTGTTCTACCTGTTTATTCCGATTTAGATAATGCACCAAAGAAATGTGGTCTTGAGTGTGAGAACAACTTTGGATTGGGGGCAGCCTCTAGGGTAGAGTGACTCTGGAGACCCCCTGGCTGAACCCCAGACTCAGAGCTAATTAATAATGGTAGGGGCAGAGGTGGTGTGTAAATGCCCTGGTATAGGTCTGGTTTTGGTTATTATTGTGCTTCTGGTTGCACTTGGAGCCTAACACTGGGTAGATGCCTAGTTATATTAACTAAGTTGTGCCAAGGGTTTGTGGGTTTTGGGGCCATGCCTTCTGAGACCAGTCACTTAAGGGAAGCAGGCAGTAGGGTAACTCGGTTGAAGATGGACTCAATACCTCTATTTATTTATTTTATGTGGTGCTGAGAATTGAACCCAGTGCCTCACATATGCTAGGCAAGTGCTCTACCACTGAGCCATAATCCCAGACCCATCAGCCTTGGTACTCTTATGCATTAGCCTCCTTCATTGCTGGATTAAGGAGGTGTACCACAACACCCTTATTTTTTATTTTTTAAAGAGAGAGAATTTTAATGTTTAATTTTTTTAGTTTTCAGCAGACACAACATCTTTGTTTTTTGTATGTGGTGCTGAGGATCGAACCTGGGCTGCAAGCATGCCAGGCAAGTGTGCTACCGCTTGAGCCACATCCCCAGCCCACAACCTTATTCTTGTAATTCTTTTCCATAAAGGATGATGAATAGATGTATACCACAAATACAGTGCTTTTGTATATGAATGCTTCCATGGGAGCTGGGGTTGTAGCTCAGTGGTAGAGCACTTGCCTGGCATGTGTGAGGCACTGGGTTTGATTCTCAGCACTGCATTATAAATAAATTAAAAGGTCCATTGACAAGCAATATTAAAAAAAATAAATAAAAAAGCTCACATGAGAGCTGAATGCCGGTGGCACCCACTCTTACACCACACCACACAGAAGCACTGTGAGTGTGACAGTTTCAATGATGCAGTGACTCACATGCTTTGTGAGTCGTTGGCATGGTGGCATGACTTCCCAAACCTTTACTAGCCTTCTCCTAGTTTGTAGGGTAGTTGGGTTTCTGGGAAATGAAGTGCACATTTAAACTTTGCTAAGAGTTCTATGTTTGGAATGTTGGGCTCTGTTGCCTCTATCAGTCAGGAGGGAAACCATGGGTTTCAGTGCATCCTGAGCCCTGCTGACAGGGAACAGATACTAACTGTTCAGCAATGGCTCAGGAAAATTTGTACTTTGACTAAATAATTATTGCTTGGTGTTTTTACCCACATGGATGTCAGGTTGCAAAAAAAGAAGCAGTGTGCAGGATTGTGGCTGCCCAAGCCCAGGACTGTGGTATTCTCACCCCTCACTGTGAGAGCTACCTCTAAGAGGCAGTACTGTTGCAACACCCTGAGGGACAAGATTAGGATAATTAGGGGTGAGGCTGTTGGGTGGGCATGTGGGGCCCAGCACTGCACCCTTGGAGTTCTTTTTTTTAACATTTTATTTTTTAATTATAGGTGGACATAATATCTTTATTTTATTATTATGTGGTACTGAGGATTGAACCCAGTGCCTCACACATGCTAGGGGAGCACTCTGCCTCTGAACCACAACCCCAGCCCTAAGTTAAGAGTAGGAGACAAGATGTTCAGTAGTCTCAAGGCTGCTTTCCTGCTTTTCGTATTGTCTTCTAGTAGTTTAGAAACCAAGGGTTTTGCTGTGCACAGTGGCACACACCTGTGATCCCAGTGACTCAGGATACCAGGGCAGAAGAATCACAATTTTTAGTCTGGCCTCAGCAATTTAGCAAGGTCTTAAGTGCCAAAGAGAGACTCTTGTCTCAAAATACATGATATAAAGGACTGGGGATGTACCTTGGTGGTAAAATACTCCTGGGTTCAATCCCCAGTACCAAAAACAAAGGTTATTGTAAATGGAGTCATACTAACAATTGTGGCAGCACATACCTATAAACACCAACAACTTGTGAGAGTGAGGCAGCAAGATCCAAGTTTGAGGCTAGCCTGGGCACAAAACTAATAAATGGATTCATATAGTATGTAACCGTTGAAAATTGGCTGTTTTCACTCAGCATAATCAGAGTTTAGGATAGCATTTAAATTTTCTCAACTATAGGGGCTAGGATTGTGGCTCAGCGGTAGAGCGCTTGCCTAGCACGTGTGAGGCCCTGGTTTCAATCCTCAGCACCACATAAAAATAAATAAATAAATAAAATGAAGATACTGTGTCCAGTTACAACTAAAAAATAAATATTTAAACAATTTCTCAACTACAAAAGTGAGCATAGGCCCCTACTCAGAATGCTCACCTGAGACCACGAACTCATGACTAGCCTGGGAATCATAGCAAGATCCATCTCAAAACACCTTAGTAAAGTTTCAGACCTACAAAGGGAACAGAGAAGGATCAAATAACTATCGTTTTTGCATGAAGTTTTTTTCCTTAATAAAAGATGGGTGGGGGCTGGGGCTGTGTCTCAGAGGCAGAGCGCTCGCCTGGCATGCATAGGGCGCTGGGTTCGATCCTCAGCACCACATTAATTTTCCAGCAATTTAAAAAAAAAATGCCTGGGCTGGGGCTATAGTTCAGTGGCAGAGCACTTGGCTAGCATATATGAGAGACTGTGTTCAATCCTTAGCACCACATAAAAAAACAAAGGCATGTTGCCTATACACAACTACAAAAAAAATTTTTTTTAAAGATGGCACGTTATAATGAAAACTTAAGTTCTTGCTGTGTCCTCTGTCCTAGTTCCCTCCCTTCCAGAGGCAAATACTAGACTGCATTTCAGCATGCATCTTTCAGTTGTCTTTATGCTTTGTTCCTCATATAGCCCATAAATAGTGTGTTCTATGCTGTGCATTTTATTTTTAAATTTTTTTTTTTTAGTTGTTGATGGACTTTATTTATTTTCATGTGGTGTTGAGAATTGAACCCAGGGCCTCATACATGCTAGGCAATGCTCTACCACTGAGCCACAACCCCAGCCCTGTGCTGTGCATTTTAAAAGCTATGCTAGCGCTTCAGCAGTGTGTGTGTTATTCTAAAACTCATATTGTTGACTCATCTTGTTTATGAGTTCTTCCCACATTGACAGTTGATGGAGGACTCTTATGGACAAAGGATGTTTGTTGGCAGTTTTCTAGGTTATTGATGGTGTGTCACCATTTCAAACAGTTATTCTGTGAGGCACCTTGTTCTTATACCTGTCTCCTGGTGTTGATGTAGGACACACTACAAGAGTTCATTGGAAGTGGTGTATGTGTGATCCATTTTAAACAGATAGCTTACTACACTGCACTTTCTTAGTTTTGTCAACTCTTAGACTGTAGCCAGCATTGTGTTAGTGTCTTTTTTTTTTAATGTTTTTTGCTAGGTTAGAGTGACTGCCATGTTCTATCATTTTAATCTTTACTTGAAGTGTATTCAGATCTCTTTCTCAAAAAGGACAGATGACTAACAATGTATTTCTTGAGCCAGGTGCATTGGCACTTGCCTTTAATCCCAGCTACTCAGGAGATGGATGCAGGAGAATCAGGGGTTCAAGACCAGCTTAGGCAACTCTCAAAAAATAAAGGGCTAGGGATGTGGCTTAATGGCTAAATGCCCCTTGGTTCAGTCCCTGGTACCAAGATAGATACATAGATAAATTTTTTTTTAAAAAGATTGGGGATGACTTGACGCAGTGGCACACACACCTGTAATCCCAGTGGCTCGTGGGGCTAAGACAGGAGGATGGTCAGTTCAAAGCCAGCCTCAGCAAAAGCAAGGCACTAAGCAACTCAGTGAGACCCTGTCTCTGAATAAAATACAAAATAGGGCTGGGGATGTGGTTCAGTGCCCCTGAATTCAATCCCTGGTACCAAAAAAAAAAAAAAGACTGGGGATGTAGCTGAGTGGTAGAGCACCTCTGGGTTCAGTTCCCAGTGCCTAAAAGGAAAGTGTGGGGAGAGTTCAAAGGTACACATGGAGTGGTTATACTTAGGTCAGATTCAAATCATGCTCAACTTCCCCCAGTGCACAGATGGTGGTCATTAGTATTCTAAGAAGGAGATAATGGGAGATGCAGTAAGCTGAGTAGATTCTTGGAGCAGGGTGGGATTTACGGAGAGAAGTTTTGAAGGATGGGGAGAGGTAGGACAGGATGGTAAACTAAATCTCTTGAAGAATTTGAGGAGAGGCTATTGAGCTGCTGGAGATTTGCATTTCCCTAGTAGTTCTCTGATTTTTTTTCATTTCTCTGCTTTTTGGATTATAGAACACAAATGAAAAAAGCTACAGATGCCCCGTCATAAATTGCACAATCCCTTTTTATTATAATTATTACTGCATATTAATTGTATAAAACAATGAATTCGTGGTTGTTCTGGGGATTGAACCCAGGGGCTCTTATCCCCAACTCTTTATTTTTTGAGATTTTTAGCAAGGACCTAAGCTAAATTGCTGGGGCTGGCCTCAAAGTTTTTTTTTTTTTTTAAAGAGAGAGAATTTTTTAAATATTTATTTCTTAGTTTTCGGCGGACATAACATCTTGGTTTGTATGTGGTGCTGAGGATCGAACCTGGGCCGCACGCATGCTAGGCGAGCGTGCTACCGCTTGAGCCACATCCCCAGCCCTGGCCTCAAAGTTTTGATCCTCCTTCCTTAGCCTCCTGAGTAGCTGGAATTACAGGTGTAAGTCCTCATGCCAGGCTCAATATCATGGATTTCATTGGTTTTGTTTTGTTTTTTCTTATAGTCTTGGGGATTGAAATTATGGATTATGGCCTCTAGCACGCATTCTAGTGCTCTACCACTGAGCTACATCCTCAGTCCTTTTTTATTTTTCATTTTGAGACAGTGTGTAGCCATGTTGCCTAGCGTGGTCTTGAACTTGCCAGTCTTCTGAGTACCTGAGATTACAGGTGTGTGCCACCATGCCTGCCTGCGTCATGCAGCTGCACTGGGGTTGTTTCCTGGATGTTGGGACACAATCCTCATGGTTTATATTTTTTGTGTATTTGTAGAAGATTCTTCTTGCTCCTCTGGTTTGTAATTTCTCATGCAGAGCAGAGACTTAACCTTCCCCACTGGTCTCAGAATAGTTCTTGTCTGAGAACTTTTGCATGTTTTTTTGACATTGTGAATGTTTTATTTATTTATTTTTGGGGGGGCAGTACTGGGGATTCAACTCAGAGGCGCTTAACCACTGAGATACATCCCCAAATCTATTTTGAGACGGTATCTCTGAATTGCTAAGGCTGTTTAAAAGTCACATCTGCTGTCCCCTCAGGTGGCTCTGTCTCGGAGGTCCGTCTGGTGGCATTTCTGTTGACTCATATGCGTCTCTCCCCCTTTCTCTAGGAAGAGTACAGGAATTCCATGCCTGCATCCAGTTTCCAGCAGCAAAAGCTTCGTGTGTGCGAGGTCTGTTCTGCCTACCTGGGTCTTCATGATAACGACCGTCGCCTCGCAGACCACTTCGGGGGCAAGTTACACCTGGGTTTCATTCAGATCCGAGAGAAGCTTGATCAGTTGAGGGTATGTTAGTGAGCTGTGTTTCTGGAGAATTCCCATTTCTGACTGACTTTTTTGGGGTTTTTTTGTTTTTTTGTTTGGTCGTCATTGTTGATTTGTTTTAATTTAAAAGATTTATTTTAGTTGTAGGAGGACACAGTACCTTTATTTTATGTATTTGTTTTTATGTGGTGCTGAGGATTGAACTCAGTGCCTGACACATTCTAGGCAAGTGCTCTACCACTGAACTATAACCCAGCTCCACCTTCACATTTCTATATTTTCAAAAACCTTTTGGGAGCCAGGCACAGTGGTGTACGCCTGTAATCCCAGCAGCTTGGGAGGCTAAGACAGGAGGATCACAAGTTCAAAGCCAGCCTCCAGCAAACAATGAAGCACTAAGCAACTTGGTGAGGCACTAAGCAACTCAGTGACACCCTGCCTGTAAATAAAAATACAAAATAGGACTAGGGGTGTGGTTCAGTGGTTGAGTGTCCCTGAATTCAATCACCGGTACCAAAGAAGAAAAGGAAGAAAAAAAAAAACTTTTGGGACTGGGGTTGTGGCTCAGCAGTGGGTTCAATTTTCAGCACCACAAATAAATAAATAAATGAAATGAAGGTCCATTGACAACTTTAAAAAATAAAAATAAAAAACCCTTTGTTCTGATTCACTCTAAGAACTTGAGTTTTATAGTGAAATACTCAAATTTTATCACTTGATTTCACATAAGAGACATAAAATATCATAATCCAAAGAATCCTGAAAATGGAACTGGGCTGTAGCTCAGCAGCAGAGTGCTTGCCTAGCATGTGTAAGGTACTGGGTTTGATCCACCACATAAAAATAAATAAAATAAAGGCATTCTGTCCATCTACAACTATAATTTTTTTAAAAAATCCTGAAAATGTATTTAGTTTGTACCCCTTCGTTGTGGTAAATGACAGAGTCCAGTCCCAGGGTATGGACAGTTCTGAAATAGCTTCTGTGTGGTTCAGTTATCTTTGCCTTTGCACTGCCTCAGAAAGGTAAGGAAGCTGTTGGTTTTCTTCTGATAGCAGTGCACAACCTATTCTTTCCTGAAGAGTCTAAACTTTAAGTATGAATCTGGATGTTGTGGTGGTGCACAGCCCTACAATCCCAGCAACTCAAGAGGCTGAGGTAGTAGGACCTCAAGTTTAAGGCCAGCCTGGACAACTTAGACTATTTCTCAAAAAAGGGGCTGGCCAGAGGGTGTGGTGACACACACCTGTAATCCCAGCAATTTGGGAGGCTGAGACAGGAGAATTACAAGTTCAGAGCCAGCCTCAGCAACTTAATGAGGCACTAAGCAACTCAGCGAGACCCTGTCTCTAAATAAAATACAAAATAGCGGTGGGGATGTGGCTTAGTGGTCAAGTACCCTGAGTTCAATTCCTGGTACCAAAAAAAAAGGCAGGATGGGAAGTTTGGGGGGAATATGGCCATGTAGCCTTCCCTCCCTCCATGCACTTGAAATGTGGAAGAACAGACCTAAAGCACCTGAATGGAATTTAGAGTGCTACAGTAACCAAGGCCTCATTTAGGGCTGGGGTCTTGTTTGACTCCAGTAAAAAGCTGGTCCTTTGAGTAGAAGACAGCAAGGTTCTGTACCCAAGGAAAGATCCTTAGGTGAATTGAATTTGGAACTAGAAGCAGGATTGGAGTACAGTGGTACTTAGGGTATTCTTAAAATATTTTACTTCTGTTCAGTAAAACATTTGGTTCTGGGGATTGAACCCCTAGGGTCACTTCAACTTAGAGCTACATCTCTCATATTTTCAGTGTACTCAGTCACATTTTCTTTTCTTTCTTTTTTTTTTTTTTTTAAAGAGAGAGTGAGAGAGGAGAGAGAGAGAATTTTTTTTTAATATTTATTTTTTTAGTTCTCGGTGGACACAACACCTTTGTTGGTATGTGGTGCTGAGGATCGAACCTGGGCCGCACGCATGCAAGGCGAGCGCGCTACCGCTTGAGCCACATCCCCAGCCCCCGACATTTTCTTTTCTTTTCTTTTCTTTTTTTTTTAAAGAGAGAGGAGAGAGAAAGAGAATTTTTAATATTTATTTTTTAGTTCTCGGTGGACCCAACATCTTTGTTGGTATGTGGTGCTGAGGATCCAACCCGGGCCGCACCCATGCCAGGCGAGCACAGTACCGCTTGAGCCACATCCCCAGCCCCCTTAGTCACATTTTCAAGTTGAAATTGTTTCTTATAAGTTGGTATATCATTTTCTCCTAACTTAGAAGTTGGGAATGGCCAGGTGCAATGGCATATGCCTGTATTCCCAGCAGCCGAGGATGCTAAAGCAGGAGGATCGAGAGTTCAAAGCCAGCATCAGCAATTTAGCCAGGCCCTAAGCAACTTAGTGAGAAACTGTCTCAAAAGTTAACTAACTGATCCTCTACCTTCTCTTATGATTAGCACATGCAGGTGCTGGACCAGCCTGCACTCTTCAGTGATTAAGCACCCTTGGGTTCAATCCTTGGTACCAAAAGATAAATAATTAGTTGGGAATGATATATTCCCATTTGTCCTTTAAATCATACATTAATTCCATGTTGTCCTAGAGTTTTGTCTTAGTGCAGTATTTTTTAAACCTGAAAGTTTTCAGTTTTCTTAGTGTGTATCTGCATCAAAACTAAATATAAGCTTGACGGGTTGGTGCAAAGCCTATAATCCCGGTGGCTTGGGAGACTTAGGTAAGAGGGTTGTGAGTTCAAAGCCAGCCTCAGCAACTTGGCAAGGCTTTAAGCACTTCAGTGAGATCCTTGTCTATAAATTAAATATTAAAAAACAGCTGTGATTGTGGCTCACTGGTTAGGTTAAACACCTGTAAATTCAATCCATGGTACCAAAAACAAAAACAAAAAAAACCCTGAATATTAGCTGGGTGCGTGATACAGAAAGCTGAGGCAGAGCATCGCAAGTTGGAGGCCAGCCTCAGCAGCTTACTGAGGCCCAACCACCCCTCCCCTGCAAAAAAAAAAAAAAAAAAGACTAAAGATGTAACTAAAGATAAACCCCTGGGTTCAATCCCCAGTACATAAAAAGAAAAGTGGGTATGTGTTAAAACTTTTCCAACAGTCCAAAGAACTTGGTCTAGGAAGTATCTTAACCATTGCTATTATGAGTGGTGTATGGTTGACCAAAACAGCACAAACACATTGAAGATTTTGACAGTTGTTAAAGTAGCAACATCAAATGTATTTTAAAGTGTTCTTTGTTTTGGGGTTGGCTTTTTTTTTTTTTTTAACCCTTTAAAAAATTGATTGATTGATTGGATGATTGATTGATGATGCTGGGAACCAATCCTCAGGGCACTCTGCCACTGAGCCACATCCTCAGTCCTATTTTGTATTTTGTTTAGAGAGAGAGAGAGTTTCATTGAGTTGCTTAGGGTCTCAGTCTCCTGATCCACTGGGATTATAGGTGTGTGCCACCACACCCTGCCTGCCTGCCTGCCTGCCTGTCTGTCTTGTGCTGGGGATTGAACCCAGGGTCTTGTGCATGGAAGGCAAGCACTCTACCAACTGAGCTATATTCTTAGCCCCCAGCCTTTATTTTTTATTCTCATCCAATTTCCTACACAGACCTCAAACCCCTGCCTTAGCCTCTTGAGTCATTAAGATTACAGGCCTCTGCCACTTCATCTGGTTTGATTAAGATGGTTTTAAAACAAATGTGTTAGTGTTTCTTAGAGTTTTTCTTGCTTTTTTCTTTTTCCCATTTTTCATCTATTTAGAAAACTGTGGCTGAAAAGCAGGAGAAGAGAAATCAGGATCGCTTGAGGAGGCGGGAGGAGCGAGAGCGGGAGGAGCGGCTGAGTAGAAGGTGAGCAGGGACAGGCTAGTATTCTCACGGAGCCCTTGTGCTTCAGAACATGCTGCTTCATGTACTGAGGTGTTGCTTGGAACAGTTAAGGTCTGCTATAGGCTAAAAGAAAGCCAACGTGCAGTATATCCAGTCCTGCAGAGTGCAGGCTGGCTTAGCACCTGCATGTGCTAATCATAAGAGAAGGAAGAGGAACAGTTAGGAAAGGTTCCTCCTTCACCACATGAGCTGATCCACTGACTGCTGGGCATGCAGCCATCAGCAGATGGGAAGGGTTGGACCTGATCCTCTGGGAGAGGAGTGTGCTGTCTTATGACAACACTTTGCTATAGGGAAAATGCATCAGGGAAGAGCTTTGGGCTGACTGAGTGGTTGGAGGTCGTGTATGTACCCTGGTATACATTTATTGCATGGTGTGGGATCATTGAAAAACTCATAGGAGTGATGGAGTCTGACGTCAGGAGGTGTTGCTTCCCTTTGGAGAGCTGAGTGAGGGTGTTGGGTGGAGCAGCAAGATCAGTGAGTTGCTGGTTGAGAGGATCCTGATGAAGGAGTTGGCGGTCTAAAGAGTCAAGTGGCTGGAGTCTGGGTGTGATCTGGGGACAGAATTGATAGGAATCAACTTGAAGTTTTTTGGCCTAGAGTTTGCACTTGCTGGGGTGAGGAAGGTAGTGTGGGAAGGGATGGGGTAGAGCTTGCCTTGCAATGTTCAGTTTTAATGCCCAAGACATACCCTTCTGATTGGAGTTCAGAGAAGAGTTCTGAGCTAGAAATAATCTCACTTTCCTTTGGGGGTATCTTATTTCCCCTGAAAGATCCAAAAAACTGCTTTCCCAAAGGAATTCCTGAGTGCCTGACTCAGGAGGAGCCAATGCTTGCTGTTCTTTTGTTTCCTTTGTTGTTTTCATGTTGGTTGATTATTGGAGCTTTGTATTATATGAGAACATCCTCAGAAGATCTGCCATCCCTTTTGCACAGAGATGCATCTGTTGTGGTTGGGCATGTCTAGATACAGTCACATGTAGGCCCCTTTTCCATGATGACTGCACAGTGCTCTCAGAATGGGTATTACATGAGATCTTGCTGGTTGTCTAACCAGAGGAACCCATTGATGCTCACATGTCACTAAACCTGTGTCTGGAACTTTAGTGGCTGTGGAGTTGCACGCAGCCCTTTGTCTTCTGACTGTATACCTGTGCCGGTGTCCATTGTAAAGCCTTGTAACTCTAGCCTGCACTGATGCACATGGGTGCTGCCAGTACAGCCAGTGAGCCACAGAGTGGGTGGGACCTCATCCTGTGAGTTTTTGCACCTCCCACTGCAGCCCAAGTAGATGAGCAGCCAGGAGAAAACAGGTCTTTGGGAAAGTCTTCCACCTTGAGTTGTGGGCACTTTCCCAGTCAGTGGGGAATGAGGATGCATCTGGAACATTGTTCATTATCTTTTCCCTTTTCAGGTCTGGATCCAGAACCAGAGACCGTAGGAGGTAGGCTTCTAGATGCCTAATAGTGTTCTCTCAGTCACATGCCTCTTCCACAAGATTTTTAAAAAATAATTGATTTTTGCAATTCCACACATTTATCTGGTGGGTAGGGTGGCTTGTGAAGGGCCCCGGGGATGGTGAAGCCTGTGGCCAACCAGGAGTGTTCAGGAAGTGCCGCTCAGGGTGGGTCTGGCATCAGAGTAGCTCTTGGGAATATATCAAACTTGAATTACACATTTGTGAGATGACAGGAGGAAATATAAGTAAGGCCACACAGAATCTGAGCCCAGAAGTGGGGTAGTCCTGGGCTGCTTGCTTTCTGAGCATTCTCAATCATCAGATCCTTCGTTTTTTTTCAGGTCACGCTCCCGAGATCGGCGTCGGAGGCGGTCAAGATCTACCTCCCGAGAGCGAAGGAAGTCTTCCCGGTCCCGGTCCCGAGACAGACACCGGCGCCATCGCAGCCGTTCCCGGAGCCGCAGCCGGGGACATCGCCGGGCTTCCAGGGACCGGAGTGCGAAATACAAGTAACTACTCTGACTCCTTCAGTAGCTGCAACCAGGAGTGAGCCCCTTCTCTTTGTGTTCCCATGGTTTCCTGGGGTCTGTCAGTGGGCCCTTCCATAGCTGGTAGGGCTAGACTGGGCTAGTGGGGAGCCTGGCCAGTGGTGAGACTCAGGGTTTGAACGGGGGAGGACTGTGGAGCATGTCCCTCGTGGACTCCTAGGTGGAGTTGCAGTACTCTGCACATAGTCATCCTGGACTCTAGGCACTGTCACTAGATACTAAACCCTCCTTAACTTCTGAAGTGGTTTTAAATTTTGGCCTTTTTCCCATTCTATTTTTATGTAGTGGATTGTATTTCATATGTATAATTTTGTTGTACTTCCTTATTAAAACTCTTTTATGAGTGTCAGTTTTTAGTGAGTACCTAATGTTCCCTGTATGGACGGTTAGGCATGAGACGGCAGCCCTCGCTGCCCCCGGGGCTCCTGGGACCATGACCTTCCCATCCATTGAGGAAAGTCCACATTGTTGGTTTCTGAACAGCCACTGAGAAGCAGGGTGGCATCCTCCACTGAGCCTCTGGTTCCCCTACCCTAGGTTCTCCAGAGAGCGTGCATCAAGAGAAGAGCCCTGGGAGTATGGGCGGAGTGAGCGTGGGGCTGTGGACTGGAGGCTGGAGAACTCCAACGGGAAGACTGCTTCACGGAGGTCAGAGGAGAAGGAGGCCGGCGAGATCTGAACCTGAGCTCTGATGTTCTCAATGAAAACATTCAGCACAGCCTAAGATTGCTCTTTATATTTGCTGTACACAACTCATCTTTTGTAGTTTGAATTTCTATTGTATGGAGCTAGCTGTGAGTTTCTAGGTCGTGCAGAGTTGCTCCTGTGTTCTGGGTTATGTTGTGTAGGAATAAATAAACCTGACCGGCTGCCTCCTTACTCTCCTCTGCTGAGGTGCTTTGCTGGGACCCTCCTCCACTCCAGGAGAGACAGGCCTGCTGCTTTCCCCACTTCAGAAGACTGCAACTTGCAGTCCAGCCACCTTTTGGCTTTTGGTGTCTGTCCCCAGCTGAGCCAGGTATATGTGATTGTCCGTCCTTGTACTTAACACCCATCTTTGCTGGTCATCTCTAGCTCCTGTTACAGACTGGAAGGCAGGCAGGGAGCAGAGGGCACATTCCCCATTCATCTCTTCCGGAGCTGGCCTGTCAGATCCTAGGTCAGGCAAGGTGTCCTGCCATTCCCTATTTGAAGTTATGTAGGGCAAAGAAAAGCCCCTGGTTGGCACCCACCTGGCAGTCTTCAGAGGAGAGGGGTGTTATCTTTGGGTCACATTCCAGGGTGCTGCTTTGTGGTTCCTGCCTGGATGGGTTTTTCTGTTACCCCCTCATCTCTTCACTGCTGCTGTCAAGATGGGTGCCTTAAGACCAAAGTGAAGGGTAACTGCTGACTGATTTGTGGACACTGGAGCGCCTTCCCCTTTTAATATTTCTGGGGGCCGTTTACATTTGTTTTAGAGGGAGCTTCTGTTCCCTCATTGTTAACACAGTTATTCATCTCTACTCTGTAGAGGTGCACATGTGGCAAAATAGCATCCAAAAGGCCACCAACATCCTGATGTGGCTGCTGGTCAGAGACAGTTCTTTCCTGTCTTCACAGAAAAGACTGGTGGGAAGGAAATCTTTGGAATCCACTTGGGCTTGGTACTTTGTTCTATGTATGTGCCCTATGTAGGTTTCTGCACCAGCAGAAACCAGCAACTGGCCTGTAGGCAGGTCACAGGTGTCTAGGCTGAGTGTTCATTTACACCCTGTGTTCTCCTGGAACTAAGACAGCCAGTCTATCCACCCCCGTCCCCCACCATTACCACTGTGACTGTTTTTTCCTTTTCTATATCTAGACATAAATTTCTCTGTGTGGACAAATAGCTGTGTTTTGCTTTGTTGTTTTACCAAGGAGTAGGTTATGTCAACGAATGACCTGTAGTACCCACACCTTAGCTCCTCTGATTGCAGCTGAGGAGCAAGGCCCCCTGGGGCTTCCACATCAGTGTCTCCAGTCCTCCTGTGGTGGCCTGAACTAGAGTAGCTCCCTGGGTAGATATCTTGTCACCTCCCTTTGCTGGGGAAGCCCTGTGGTCCTTTGTGCCCCTTTACAGTGGTCCAGGACAAATGGAACCCATGCACCAGAGCAGCCTTGATATCCCCAGCTACTTTGCTTCCCTGCCCGAGTCTGGTCTGCTGTAGCTGACCTACTTAAGTACCTTTTCACCCAGTATGGACCTTGCTTTCCGCAGCAATGCCTATACATTTCAGATATACTGTGGGTAGTATCTGGGCCTGGGAGGCATGTCCCTGTCCTGTGAGGGAGCCTGCCCATCAGAAAGGCCTCCCAGGTAGAGTGATGATCATACCCAAGGGAACCCAGGCTGAGTCGGAACAAAAGGGGTCTCCCCAGTATACACACCCCTCATACCATGGGAATACATCAACAGCATGGATAGTGATTTTAGAGAAGTGAGGCCGAATGGCTGTATTTTTGGTGTTGTTGACTGTCACATCTGCCTCCTGTGCAGGGTCCCCTTGGGTGTAGCATGTAGACGGGAGTTGGTAAAAAGCCCTGGGTGAGTGGGTTAAGGGGATCCTATGAGGGGAAGGGAAAGGACAGAAGGGAAAGGTCTCAGGTGCGTGGCTCAGCTGTACAAGCTGCATGTAACATGCAGACACAGGCTGCACAGTGGCCGTCTCCTAGACGGGGTGGTTTTGTAAAAAATTATACTTTGTTGTTGTTGTTCATATCATGGTTGAATCAAGAAGTACTTGACCATTGAGCCACATCCCCACCCTTTTTTATTTATTTTATTTTGAGACAGGATCTCACCAAATTACCTTGGGTCTCACTAAGTTGATGAGGCTGGCTTTGAACTTGGAATCCTCCTGCATCAGCCTCCGGATACTCTGGGATTATAGATGTGCACCACTGGGCCCAGCTAAATATATTTTTAATTAATTTTTTAAAATTATCTTTTAGGGGGCTGGGGATATAGCTCAGTTGGTAGAGTGCTTGCCTAGCATGCACAAGACCCTGGGTTCAATCCCGAGCACCACACACACAAAAAAAAAATTTAGGGGGCTGGCGCTCAGCGGTAAAGCACTCGCCTAGCATGTATGAGGCCCTGGGTTCGATCCTCAGCACCACATAAAAATAAAGGTGTTGTGTCCAATTTTTTTTTAGTTGTTGATGAACCTTTTTTAAATTTTTATTTATATGTAGTGCTGAGAATCGAACCAAGTGTCTCACACATGCTAGGCAAACACTACCACTGTGCCCAGCCCTTAATTAATTTTTTTTTTGAAACAGCATGTCTTACTGTGTTGCCTGCCTGGTCTTGAACTCAAGCCATCCATCTTCTCAGCCTCCTAAATGCCAGGACTAGACCACACCTGGCTAATTTTACTGTCTTTTTTTTTTTTTTCTCTTTCCTTCCTATATTAGGATTCTTTAGAGAAACAAAGGGAGTAGGACATGCAGATGCATAGTTATTATGTGGGATTGGCTCTTGCTGTCCCAGGACTGGAAGTCAGCCCTGCTTGGAAGACCTGAGAACTATAAGCTCCACATCAAGGGCAGAATATGGCTATCACTGCTGAAGCAGACAGCAGTTCGCCTCCCTTCACTGTTTTGTTCTGTCCAGGCACTTAGTGGGTGGATGATGGCCCAGTGGCATTTAGTGGGGATCTGCAGTCTCCTGGTTCCAATGCCAGTCTCTTCTGGGAACCCCACAATACCCTAGAAGTGCCTGTATACTGCCAGCCCAGGAAGGTTGATGACCAATAACATACCCTTCCTGTGTGTGGTCTGCTCTGTCCACTGATATTTTATTTTGGCACTGAAGATTGAACCCACTGAACCACATCCCCAGCCCTTTTTAAAAATATTTTATTTAGAGACAGGTTCTTGCAGAGTTGGTAAGTGCCTTAGCCTCCTGAGCAGCAGGGATTACACCACACCTGGCTGTCCCACTGTAATTTGAAGCTGGCATTCTTTTAAGTGCCTAGAAGGATCTGAAAGGCTGTCCACTGGCAACATGCATGGCTGCATACCTGTTTGTGCCCATTGGTGGTAGGTCTTTGCCATGCGGGTGCTCTGGAATGTACCTTTGTCCTCTGCCAGGTCTGTTCCTGACTTGGGTAGCAGAAAGGGGCAGTAAATAGGGTAATTACTTCCCAAAGTTTCTTTAGTTACCATGGTTGATTTTATATGGAAAAATAAACCCTACCTTTCCTCTCTTTGGAGACTAGATGAAGGCATGATTCCAGTGTGGACCCCCACACACACCTGACTGGGTGCTGGGGCTGGACTTTCCTCCTTCCACCTGGTCCTGAGTCAGGTAACATCTGACTTTCACAAGCCTCCCCTCAGGAACTGACACCACCCCTGCACAGCTTCTGCCTCTGTTGGAGGTAGGGGTGGGGGCTGTGCCTGGTTTTCTCCTAGGCTGGGTTGGTGGGTGAGGGGCCTGCAGCCGAGGAGTGTCAGGAGGGAGCCAGCGACTTGAGGAGCTGCTGCCGCCTCTGCAGCCCTTACCACTTGAGGGCTGTGAGACCCTATGCCTCAGACTCTCGCCCCCACTTTAAAAGGACGAGTCTTGCTCATCCATCCCTGTGTCTAAAGGACATATATTCCAGGAAGCGTTCTGGGGGACTTTATTCAAGGCGGGGTCCTCGGGAAAGGGAACTCCTGGAGGCCCCCAGATGACCCACCGGATTTCAGCGATATTTGGAGACCAACGTGGAGGTCACATGGCTTAGAAACTTGTCTAGCGAGGCCTGCATGGTGGGGCTGAAGTCTCCGGGATAGTGCCGGGCCAGGGTCACCAGCAGACAGTGGCACAGGAGCTGCAGGCAGATGGAGCTGTGCCTAGGCCCATCCATCATCCACACCCTTCCCTGGTGGGACCCCTTCCCCGGCGACGCTGGGTCCGGCCTGGCCTGCACGCTCACCTGGAAGTTGGCTGGGTCCACACGCAGCTTGTGTGCGTGCAGGTCGCTCAGAGAGGCCAAGGCGCCCGGCAGGTCGTCCAGCTGATCTACGGCAAGGGTCAGCGCGGCAGCCACCTTTTGGCCGTGGGCTTTAACTTGGGCGGAGCCGGGGCTCAGGTCCAAATGGGGGAAGTACGTTTTGGTGCCAGGGAAGGACAGGAAGGTCCTGCGGGGAACGGAGGGTGGGTGCGCGTCTCGAGCAGCGGGTAGGTGCGCGTCTCGAGCAGCGGGTAGGTGCGCGTCTCGAGCAGCGGGTAGGTACGTACCTCTCCAGGGCTTCGGTCGTGTAGACGCCAACGTTGTCACCCAGCTTTTTCCACAGCGCGCGCACCATCGCCCGGTCCCTGGCTGACAGCGCCATGCCGACTCTCCCGCCAAGCGCTCTGCGCCCGCGCCGGCGCCTTTGGAGGACTTCTGCGTGGCCTCCAGGGGGCGCCTTGAGCGTTCGCGCTGACCTGTGGTCCCAGGTCTCAGAGGGACTCCACTGTGCTCAGACTGCTACCCTCAGTCTCCCTGAACCCCGAGGCCCCATACGTTAAAGGGTTTGCTACATGGAAGGTAATGCCCAGATAACACTGAGTTTCAGCCTGTGTTTTGGCGTGTCCCCTACCTCCCGTATCTATTGGGACACCTTCCTCAGTCTGTCTACTAATTTATTGTATGAAATGAGGATAAGTCGTTTCTTAGCTTTGTCATGAGAATTAAATGGATAGCAAATGCCAAGTGCCTGGCTCATAGTAAATGTTCCTTTCAGAACAATGAACATTTATTAGGTGCCTGGTTTGTGTCCAAATAATAATTGTGAATATTCAGCATATTCTGCCAGATTCCATATCACACCTTTTTCCCCCCTAAATATTTTTTATTTGTTGATGTACCTTTATTTTTTATTTATTTATATGTGGTGCTGAGGATCAAACCCAGTGCCTCACACATACTAGACAAGTACTCTGCCACTGAGCTACAACCTCAGCACCAACACACATCACACCTTTTTAAATATTTTTAATGCATTACTGGGAATTGAATTGAGGTTAGCCTGAGCAACTCAGCAAGTCTCTGTCTCAAAACAAAGAGTAAAAAAAGACAGGGAATGTAGCTCAATGGTAGAGAGCACTCCTAGATTCAATCTGAAGTCTCTCCCCTCCCCCCAAAATTAGATTCCACATAATTTACCATTAAATCTATCTTAACAGTGTATAATTCAGTGACATTTAGAACATTCACAGAATTGTGCAGCCATCACTAATGTCTAGTTTCAGAGCTTTTTCATCATGCTAAACAAAAACTCAGCCATTAGCAGTAACTGCCCAATCCCCTTCTTTTTGCTCCTGGTTACCACCAATCTTCTTCTTTCCCCCACAGACCTGCTTATTCTGCTTACAGGCTGGCTGGCCTTCTCCCTCCCCTTCCTCTCCCTTCCTTGTTCTCCTCCTCCTCCTTATTCAACACAATGGTGCTTTACCACTGAACTACATTCCCAGCCCTTATATTTTTTTATTTTGAAAATAAGTTACCCAGGTTGGCTTAGAACTTGTGATCCTTCTTCCTCAGCCTCCCAAATAACTGGAATTTATATATCATATTTTACATATCATATGATTTACATATCATATAAATGAGATTATATGATATGTAGTCTTCAGGGTCTGGCTTCTTCCACTCAGCATAATGTTTTCATCATGATTTGTCCACATCCTGCAAATTTCATTTCTTTTTATGCCTGAATTTTAAGCCACATTTTGTGTGCACATGTGTCCACTGATGTGCATTTGATGTGTTTCCACCATAGCTGAGGCCTCCATGATAAAACAAAATATCAAAGATGGAGCTGTGCCTGGGCCCATCCATCATCCAGTGCAGTGGGGCATGCCTGTAATCCTAGGGGCTCGGGAGGCCAAGGCAGGAAGATCAGCCTCAGCAAAAGCAAGGCGATAAACAACTCAGACCCTGTCTCTAAATAAAATACAAAATAGGACTGGAGATATGGCTCAGTGGTTGAGCACTCCTGCGCTCAAACCCTAGTACGAAAAACAAAAACAAAGATGGCTCCTACCTGGAACTCTACTGAGCCAAAGGGCATAGTAAGGATGAGTCTTGAGCTTAGGGCAGAAAGAACAGAGGGGTTTTTTGTTTGTTTGTTTGTTTGTTTTTGTTTTGTTTTGTTTTTTAGTTGTAGATGGACATAATACCTTGATTTTATTTATTTTTATGTGGTGCTAAGGATCAAACCCAGTGCCTCACACATGCTAGACAAGGGCTCTACCACTGAGCCACAATCTCAGCCCCATGAACAGTGTTTTTAAGTGGAGGGCTGGGGCCAGATGGCCCTCAAGCCTTCCCTCTGATACCCATGCCCTGGACATGCTCTGCTAGGAGGAAGTATGTGGGGTGGGTCAGCCAGGTCTCCCTAGCTCTGGATCTTCTTTCTACTGCTCCACTTGGACAGGAGAACCCAGTGACATGGGGCAGCTGAGTGAACATTGGGCTGGGCCCAGAGGTTGAGTCTCCTGACTCTCATGGCCCCAGGACTACAGTATTCATAGAATTGACATCCTGGGTTGATAGTTCCAGAAAATGGTATGGTATCTACAATTCCTGCTCACCCTTAAACTTATCAGAACTGTGTAGAGAATTTGGGGGTTTTAGGGAGACTGATCTCTGAAGGGAGAGGATTCAGTGTTACTCTGAGGAAGTGTGGCTTCCTCAACACCACCCTTCTCTGGGAGGGTCCCTGGGAGAGCTGGGCCAATTTCTCTCAACCCCATGTTAGGCAAGTGCTCTAAGCCTAACTCCCAGCCATTTTTGTTTATTTGTTTTGAGGCAGATTCTTGCTAAATTGCTCAGTCTGTCCTCCAACTTAGAGTCCTCCTGCACCCGCCTGCTGGATAGCTGGAATTATCAGTATGTACCACATTGCCCAGCTTGCTGGGCCATGTGAGTGTAATTGTGTGTGCATGTGTGATAAAATGTGAAGAGGAGGAGCAAAGAGAGTAAGTATTGCAGCAAACTTGTGTGGAATCTTAAAGGCCCTGGAATGAAATGCTGGGAGGAACTACAGCACAGCTCTGCTGGGTAGAGGGGTGTCCAGCAAATCCTGGGCAGCCACCAGTACTGGTTCCAAATCCAGATTCTTTCTGTCCCTCCCTCCTTTGACTTTTCTTGTCCTCTCCAGATATGTAGAGGTCTTTGAACCAGGTAAATGATGTGTTCCCAAGAAGCCACCAGCCACCAACCCCCAACCTTGGGATCTAGGTGGACACAGAGAATCCAGGGCACACAGGCTGCCGCACATTCAGACTTTATTCAAAGACCAAGAGGTGCAGGTGCAAGGAGGGGAGGAGGAACTGGCCAGGAGGCCTGACAGGCATGGATGGGCATGGCCTGTGGGAGCTCCAACTTAACGGTATTTGGAGGTCAGCACGGTGCTCACAGAGGCCAAAAACTTGTCCAGGGAGGCATGCACAGCAGGGGTGAATTCGGCCGGGTGGTGAGCAGCCAGGGTCACCAGCAGGCAGTGGCTCAGGAGCTGTAGAGAGAGGAAGGGCCGTCAGTGGCACTGCCATCTGTGTTCCACCTAACTGTGGGGTTCTCTGCCCTGCCACATTGCCACCTGCACCCTCCACCCGTCCCTCCCGGCCTTTCCCGGCCCCAGCGCTCACCTTGAAGTTGACGGGGTCCACACGCAACTTGTGTGCGTGCAGATCGCTCAGAGTGGACAAGGCGCCAGGCAAGTCATCAACGTGGGCCGCGGCATTGGCCAGAGCATCAGCCACCTTCTTGCCATGGCCCTGGACCTGTGCGGAGCCGTGGCTCAGGTCAAAGTGGGGGAAGTAGGTCTTGGTGGTGGGGAAGGACAGGAACATCCTGCAAGGAAAAAACAGCGGGTGAGCGAAGTTGAGGAGGATGAGGGCATAACAGATAGGGTGTCAGCCGGTCACTGGGACGGGTGTTGAACCCCAGGGACCAAGCAGGGCAGAGAAGGGCGCTCACCTCTCCAGGGCCTCGGCACCATATGCAGCACCATGGCCGCCAATCTTCTCCCAGCAAGCCTTGACGTTGTTCTTGTCAGCAGGAGAGAGCACCATGGTGATTTCTTTCTGAGTCCGTGTCAGAACCAGAAGCGTGCTGGACCAACAGAGCGCAGCGCTTTTATGGCCCGGGTGTTTGGGACCCGCCCAGCCCAGCCTCGCTTATTGGCTGGCACTGGGTGAGTGAGCAGCCAGGGCTGGCCAGCAGGGGGCAGACTGGCGCGTCCAGCCAGCTGGGCCTCACCCGCACTGGGACCAACGGGCATTCTTTCCCCCACTCCCCGCCGCCCTCTTGGAAGCCGCATGCTAGGCCCCAGCTGCCAGTGGGGGATTCTTGCAGCGCCATTTCGGATCACCGAGTATCCTAGCCGTAGGCTGGACTCCTGTGAGCACCGGCAACAGCCAGCCCACACAACCCACTCTGACTTGACAGATGTGCCTCTCTTGAGCAGGATAAGAGGTGAATTGGGAAGCAAGAGAAGCTTTTCCCAGTCGGGACAGAGAGAGGTGTCCCCTCAAAGGTGCTCTGCCGGCCATCCCTGCAACAGCCCTCAGCAGCCCCCTTTCCTTCCACAGACAGTCATTGCGTCTGACTGACAGGCACAAGGAAAGAAGATGCACCCATGCACGAAACTGGCAGCGCTTGAGTAGGGCGCACCAGGCTCCAGCTCCCTTAGCTGGTGGGGTGGCTGCATCCCCAGGTCATGGACTCTCAGTGGGGGCTCTCCTTTGCCCAGCCCCTGGGCAGCTGGGTGAATGACAGCCTCTGCCCCACTGGACTAGTGGTTCTTCACAGTGACAGCCCAGCTGTCCAGATGGTGCCAGACTTGCTTTAAGTGGGGTTAGAGTGATAAGCACAGGTGCAGGCTGAGCAAGACCTGAGCATCTGGCTTGTCCGGAACCTGCACTGTCATCTGCACTGTCGTCACAGAAGTACACGTCCACTTTCACACCTTGGGAAGGGCACTGAGGAAACCTAGTTTAGCCTGAGGGTCAGGATAGGCTTCCTGGTGGAGGCTAGTCTGGAAGGTGGGCTTGGGAGGAGAAGGCAGAGGCTTGCCTCCAGGGGCAGGGAGAGGAGGTCCCTGTGGCTATGGAGCAGAGGTGGGGGAGCCGGTGGGGAGACTGGCTAGAGGCTTTAGACTGAAGACAGAGGGACCTCCCTGAAGCAGTGAGAGGGACTGGAGTGCCAGCAGGTGCTGCCCTCGTCCCTTTGCTGGTGACAAGTGATGGTCCCTTGGGCTTGTGGTGGATGGAGGGTACTGAGGAGCAGAGGGGATGTGAGTTCACCCATGTGTCTTGCCCTGGGTCCGAAGGAAGAACTTGTTCTGAAGTGGCCTGGGTGGTACCCTTCTGCCCACTGCTGTGCTAGTCCCTTCCCTAAAATCCTAGGTTCTTGTTCACAGTGACAGCCCAGCTGTTCAGATGGGACATCTCTAGCCATTTTTAGTTGTTATTCTGAGACAGGGTCCCCCTAACTTGCTGATGCTGGATTCAAACATGGCATTCTCCTGCCTCAACCTCCTAAGTAACTGAGATTATAGATGGGTGCCACCAAGCCCAGCCCTACATGAGCCCTTTAAGACAAGTCTTAGTCTGTGGAACATATTTCAGCCAAAGACTGAACATATTCTCTCTGTGTCTCTCTCTTTGAGACAAGGTCTTTCTATGTTGCCCAGGGTGGTCACAAATCCCCAGCTCAAGCAATCCTCTGACTTCAGGTATCAGAGTAGCTGTCAGACTTGCATTCTTTTGCACATTTTGCATGTTTTATTTTTATTTATTCATTTGGCAGCATGGGGGATTGAACCCAGGCTCTACCACTGAGCTACATCCCATTTTATCTGTTCCTTTGAGATAGGGTCTCACTAAGTTGGCCAAAAACTGAGGCTGGCCTCAAACTGTGATCCTCCTACCTCATCCTCCCAAGCAGCTGGGATTTACAGGTGTGTGCCACCGCATCGGACCTGACTTATATTCTTCATGTGGAAAGAGCCATCGTGTGTAAATAAGAAAGAGGGCTGGGGGCCAGTTGTGGTGGCACATGCTTGTAGTCTCAGCTAATCAGGAGGATGGAACTGAGATGGGAAGATCACTCGATCCCAGGAGTTTGAGAGCAGCCTCAGAAACACAGTGAGACCCCATCTCATAACCGAAACAAACCATCAACAAAAACCCCACCAAGCAGAAAGTAAAAGGGCTGGGATAGAGCTCTGTGGTAGTTTGTGCTCAGCATGGGTGAGTCCCTGGGTCTGATTCCCAGTCCTGAGACAGAAAAAAAGATACCAGGCACCATGGGACATGTCTATAATCCTAGCTACCTTGGAGACTGAAATAGGGAGATCACAAGTTAGAGTCCAGCCTGGGTCCCTGAGTAAGACCCTGTCTCAAATTTTTTAAAAAGGCTGAGGATGTAGCTCCATGGCAGAGCACTCCTGAGTTCAATTCCCAGTATTGCAAAGAAAGAAAAAACTAGGAACTGGGATTGTGGCTCAGTGGTAGAGCGCTTGCCTAGCATGTGTGAGGCACTGGGTTCTATCCTCAGCACCACATTAAAAAAAATAATAATAAATGAATAAAATAAAGGTCTGTGTCCATGTACAACTGAAAAAAAAATTTAAACCCCAAAATAAAATAAAAATGACTATGAGAACAGGTGACAAAAATATTTATAGAACGTTAAGAGAAATGATCAGCAAACTGGAATGAAGCTGGGCTTTATGACGAATGTCTGCATTCCCAGATACTTGGGAGGCTGAGTCAGGAGCATCTCTTGAGCCCAGGAATTCAAGGCCATCCTGGGAAAACTAGGAGACCCTATAGAAAAAGAAAGAAAGAAAGAGAGAGAGAGAGAGAGAAAAAAAAAAGAGAAAGAAAGGAAGGTACATGAGGGATCAGCCATACCAGTGTCCTCTTGGTACAGATGGAAGCCACCTAACTCAGTCCCCAGATGTTCACTTTGATTTCTATGAGGTAGGGAGACAGGGTAGAGGGTCTAGTTTCCTGCTTTGGATAATGCAAAAAAAGTGTGTGTATATGTTGTGTGTGTGGCTGCAGTGCGAGGGTGGGCGGGGGTGTGAGAGAGAGGGAGAGAGAAAGCATTGATGGATGTCGGTTTATTCCTTGAGCACTTTCAAGGTTTGAATAAAAATGGGTTGGCTAAGAGGCAGAGGAGTGAATGGGAGAGAGGAAAAAGGGGCCACCCCAGCAGTTCCCAGAGGCCCATGACCAGAAAGTGGTGAATGGGGTCCTTGCTCTCCTCCCTGGTTCCGCCCAGTGCAGTGTGAGCAGGCTCACTTTGGCAGTTGGCCTGAAGGCCCTGGGGCAGTGAAGCCAGGCATGGTGTTCAGGATCCCAGGGTGGAGCCTGAGATGCCGCATCTGGGCCAGGGGCATCCCTGACCTCAGCCAACAACAGGAGGGGCAGATCCTCAGGGAGATCCCAGGATGGCTCAGTGCCTCAGGGCCAGAGAATGTGTGACAGTGAGCCAGGGCGTAGGGGGGCACAGGGCTGGGGACACCTGATCTGTCACTGTGCCTCATGATTGCAGGGAGGGAGCAACACTCTGCTCTGCGGGTGGTAAGCTCCCCAAGGGCACCCTGTCTGCTCCAGTCAGCCCACCCTCTCCTTGCCTGACTGTGGACCTGCTCTCTGAGGGTCACTGTGACAGAGGTAGGGCAGCTGGGAACAGCACACTCACTTTAGCACACCTACCCTCTGGTGAGAGTCAGATTTTCCGGCACCTGCTTTTGCATCCAGAGAAGCCTATTTTTGTTTGCATGTGTGTTTTGAGACAAGGTCCTGCCACGTTGCTCACCCTGGCCTCAAACTTGCAATACTCCTTCTGCCTCAGCCTCCAGAGTAACTTCCAGATTACAGGCATGTGCCATTGAGGCCGGCTCCTTTGGTTTTGGCCTAGATTGTATGTTTTTCAGTCCAGAAAAGGGTGTGGACAGTAGGAGTCTCCTCCCCTGTCCCCTCTGAGGGACCCTGGGAGGTCTGGCGCTTTTTAGGACTGGGGCGTGGTTCAGTGCCTTCTCTGGAGTAGGTCCAACTTAGCACCCCTCCCCTCCCCATAAGGGTCCTTGATCCAAGATAAGTACGACCACCCCAACCTTGGCATGCAGCACACACAGAGAACCAATGCACACAGGCTACAAACCAGCTCAGACTTTATTCAAAGGCCAAGAGGTGCAGGTGCCAGGAGGGGAGGAGGCCTGGCCGGGAGGCAAGGCTGGCATGGATGGGTGTGGCCATCAAGTTTCTAGCTTAACAGTATTTGGAGGTCAGCACGGTGCTCACAGAGGCCAAGAACTGGTCCAGGGAGGCATGTACCGCAGGGTTGAATTCCTCTGGTTGGTTAGCAGCGAGGGTCACCAGCAGGGCGTGGCTCAGGAGCTGTGGAGAGAGGAAAGGCTATCCGTGGTGGTAGAGGCCACTGGCATCTGGGCCTCACCTAAAGGTGAGGTTCTGTGCCCTGCCACCTGAGCCCTCCATCTGTCCCTCCTGGCCCAGCCCAGTGCTAGCACTTACCTTGAAGTTGAGCAGGTCCACACGCAGCTTGTGTGCATGCAGATCGCTCAGGGAGGACAGGGCGCCAGTCAGCTCATCGATATGGGCTGCAGCATGGGCTAGAACATCAGCCACCTTCTTGCATGGCCCTGGATCTGGGTGGAGCCAGGGCTCAGATCAAAGTGGGAGAAGTAGGTCTTGGTGGTGGGGAAGGACAGGAACATCCTGCAATGAGAAAGTGGTGGGTGGGGGAAGTCAAGGAGGGTGGGGGCATAACAGGTAGGGTGCCAGCTGGTCACTGGGCAGGGTTGCACCCCGGGACCTAGCAGGGCAGAGGAGAGCACTCACCTGTCCAGGGCCTCTGTGCCATACGCAGCACCATTAGTGCCAATCTTGTCCCAAACAGCCTTGACATTGGTCTTGTCAGCAGGAGACAGCACCATGGTGATTTCTTTCTGAGTCCGTGTCAGAACCAGAAGCGTGCTGGACCAACAGAATGCCGTGCTTTTATGGCCCGGGTGTTTGGGACCCACCCTGCCCAGCTA